AGAAGAGAAGAGAAGAGAAGAGAAGAGAAGAGAAGAGAAGAGAAGAGGAGTCAAATCAGGACTTCCACACTTTCATTTCCAGTATCACATAATGACATAAAGAAAAGTACCACAAAAGCTGAACCTAAATGTTTCAGATTATCTGGTTCCATTTAATTCCTTAATGATATTTTAATGTGTTTTGGTGCCTCATTTCCTTTCTAAAATTACGCTCAACACCCTGGTCTTCCACCCCTCATTGAATGATCTGAATCACAAAAGGAAAGCAACTTGAGCCCAACTCAACATATATTTCCAAGCCAGCACCACACAACATATTGCAGCCATCCACTGCACAGGGCTGTGTGCTCACTGGCTATTAATCAAGCATGAAATTCCGTTGTTACTGTGAGTACACGGCGCTATCTGTCAAACTCTGTTTGCTTTTAAAAAGCATTACCAGGAGATTTTCATAAATATTACAGAATGCTTGTTTGCAGAGATTTCTTTTTAATAACACACTCTGCGTTCATAGGGAAGCATTTATCTCAAAGCTTCACAAAGGGCCAGGCTGTGCCACATTACATATGCAATAAATAGCTTACTCCCTGAGTAGGACAAGTTAATACTCAGCATGAATACATCTTAGTCATCACTCTGCTGACTACAGCAAAACATCCCCTCCCCACAACCCACTACATGCACTGCTCAGATTCGGGTGAAGCTGCTATTCATTTTTTTCAACTTTAGCTTATGGTACAGTAATGAATTACCAGAATGTACTATGGACCCTTATCAGATCATGCAACAGTTTAATTATTTTGCCAGAGCAGAAGCAAAACAGCCCTTCCTATCTCTCAGGTTACAAAGAAAACAACTGTGCCTGTCCTTAAAGATTCTACATGCTCAGCACTGGAAGAGACACTTAGAAATAAGCAAGCAGAGAAGAGGACAACAAGAAGACAAATCACACCGCGGATAGAGAACAACTGCCTTGTTAAATGGTGGCTATGGTGACACCAGGTTTAGTGCTGCACATGCACGGGGTGCTCCAAGGTTCAACATTATCACAAACCCCACACATTAACTCTGCAGAGTCTGGAATCACCGTGCCCGTCTCCCTTCATGAGCACTATCTGCTCCTCTGTGGTTCAGGACAACTGGAGCAACTGCAGCCTGGGGTGCAGCCAAGGGCCAGCCTGAAATATGCTCCTGAAGTTACCCAGAAACCCTGAAGTTGGCAATTTCCTTTGAACTACATTGCAGGCGAAAATGTTGAAATGAATTGCTTTCAGAACACAGTGAAGGAGGTCACTTCGCAGACTTCCATTTTTGCACCAGTTTTGCTGGTTTTTTTTTCCCCTTTCTTCGCCAAGAAGAGCATTTCAATTAAACAGATGCTTATTTCAGGCAACGCCTCCAAACGCACCAAAACAAGAACGAGCATCCCTGATCTTCAGTGACACCTCAAGGTCCCTGAACCACATTTGGCATGCTTCTCCTTAAGAAAACTACTTGAGAAAGAGAAAATGTAATGTTTTGGACGTAGAATAAAAACACTGGAGGGAGAAAGGACTGCAACCTTCCCACTGGGCTGCAATGGAGCCGGACCCGCACCCTGCTCCCATCTCTGCTCTGCTTCCTCCACTTGGAAGCATCACAAAGGCACTGCTCCCACAAGGATCACATGAGGAACAGCAGAAATAACCTTCTCTTGAAAAATGGCTGAGCTGTGTGGGAGTGTGACCTCTGAAAATACCTTTTTCTAATTTTTTTTTTTTCATTTCAACATTATACAACCAGCACTGAGTTCACTGCCTGTTCCCTTTTGCAGGCTGCGCTTTGAGGAGTTTCCATGAGGACAAACACCCCCCCACCACAAAACATGTTATTTCTGCTGTTTTCAGTGGTTTCATTTTGTTTCTAAACTTTTAAATCATCTCTTCAAGAAAAATCTCTCCATGCCTTGAAATTGAGTCAGACAACAATACCTCGTTATCCAAGAAGGCTCCATCCATCATCCTCCTATCCTTCCCCAACGTGCTCAGGTTGGAAACATTAAGTGCAGAGAAATACAACATGTGCTGAGAAAATACTTTACTACGTCCTGCTGGTGTGCCAAAAAGGTGGATCCGTTGTGCCCTTGGTACAGATAGGCAAGACTTAGAGGGAGAGAATGGAACAGCAGACATTTCAACCAACACCGTGCAGCTGACTGATCTGGAGTTATGCCTCCGTGGCTGCAAGAGAAGCAGCAAAAACCAAACGCATTGGCCCGATGGGTGACTGCTAATCACTGCTTCTTTTGGAGGTATGGCATTTCATGTGCCTGAAAAGTAAAAATGGTCAGTAGAAGTGCATCAACAGTCATCGGAAGGGATCCGGTGCTCTGATTGCAAGTCCCGTATCTAAAAAGCAACTGAGAAAGTATCAATTAAGCCTGATTGTCAAAGTTCCCCAAGAGGCTGAGTTCGTGCCAACAGAAGCACTGATTGAGATGCTGGTTGGTGAAGACAAGATTTCCCTCCTGCTCATAGTCTCCCTCAGAACTGAGCAGCAGTCATCAGATTAAAGCCAGAAAAGCTCAGGGGTAAACGTTTGCTCTCCAAACTCCTTTTCTACCCTAGGTTCAGGTCCAGCAGGAAGAACCAACTGCTCATGCCTGGGTGTCCTCCAGCACATGAAGTCCCGAAGCCACTCATTGCTGGGAGCTGCAAGGTTATGACGTTACGTGTTCTTTTCTTCTGGTTCTCTTCTCTCAAGCCATCTGCTCCTGCCCACTAAAAAACTAACCAGACTAACACGGGTCAATTCCCCGTAAATATACACATAGCTTCTGTTAGCAAGCTCTGAGTTTAACTCCGACCAGAGCACTCAAAAGACCTTTTCATACCCACCCCCTCACCCTTGCAAGGAGGTGCTGTGTTAGTTCTACTCCAACAGGCACATGCTCAGCTCCAGGAACAACCACAGGGAACACTAAAATCAGTGGTAAGGGTAAAATCTTTGCAGCAGGAAGCCTTATCAGAAGATCACATGCGTCCCAAAGGACATCCAAGTAACTGTATTTTACATGTGATTTGCCTTCATTGTATGAGCAACCCTGTAAAGACTGCAAATGAAAGCACTCCAAATGGGATTCATTTGATAGAGAGGAAAAACAGAACAGATTTTACTGGCTTTTTTTGTCCTCCCCACAAACATTGGTCCTCTCCCATCCATCAAAGTATTGGGGATTTCAGTGCAATTTCTAAAAGGAAGCCTAAAGGAAATCTGATGCCCTTTCAAACAAGGGGAAGAAACTCTGGAAGATTTCAATATCAACATAATAGGGGAGATAGGATTTTTTTTTTCCCCTGTTAAGTATTTGATCAAGCCTCACAAAGGTGCTAATGTATTATTAAAGCTAATGGAGCTCTACAAGAAATGTTAATGGACATTAAGTTTGCATAAATGAATTACACATTACCGCAGTCACAAGAAATCTAGTATCTGCCAATTTAGGAAGTATCTGATCATTTCTGTTTTCCTCATTACAGGAACATAACTTCACGCTAGTTTCAGAGATATGAGAATTGTAACCAAGACGTTCATAATGAAACTACATAACGAAGCAAATGAAATAAAATTAATACAACCTCCTCTTTCCCTTTCAGCGTAATGTTGCAGTCGATGTCAACCTGCAAAAATAAGCACTGGGAATCATCTGCGCAGCCCTGATTTTCTGAGGCACCAAAGCTATGCAGTGAGGACAGTCTCACTTTGGTTTTGGAGCTCTTTCTGAGCAGCAGCATATGCATAGAGCAGCTGGAAGTCAGGCACGCCTGCATTTGGGACCACAGGTATTTCCAGATAACTGCTCAGAGACCTTGTTAACGTCACATACAGCAGAACAGCTCCTAAACAAAGTGCAATGCATTATTAACACCCAACATGACGGGGATGTAAGAGTGAAAGTGGCTTGGCCTTTGTCAGGGATGCTACCAGAGATTCTGTGCACTTCATCCTGCCCTACTTTAGAAAAACAGCTGCAGCTGTACGTTCACAATGCACAAAACCAATGCTTCTTTTGCACAGTGGCTTTTTTTCTTTCTTTTTTTTTTTTTGCAGTAAACTCACAATGGTGGCCAGTTATTTTTATGTGGCATCAGAGAAAAGCATTTCAAAGAGATTTTTGCTAAAAAAAACCAACAACCCTCCAACCCCCTGAGTTTTAGTCTGTTCTGACGATCAGAACGCTCAGCCAGGAACTTTTTATGGTGCAAATCTGAAGTAAATGAAAGGGCTGGGAGAAGTCAAAACTTAACCAATTAAATGGTAAACAACACTCAATTTCAGTTTTTGAAAACAGGCCATAAGTTCCACCAACAACCTCCACGGCTTCACCTAAACATACAGCAAGCAGTTCCTGAACTCTTCAGTGAGTAATTTTGTATTTTTTCACCCAGAGGGTGGTGAGGCACTGGCACAGGTTGCCCAAGGAGGCTGTGGATGCCCCATCCCTGCAGGCATTCAAGGCCAGGCTGGATGTGGCTCTGGGCAGCCTGGGCTGCTGGTTGGTGACCTGCACACAGCAGGGGGTTGGAACTGGATGAGCACTGTGCTCCTTTTCGACCCAGGCTCCTCTGTGATTCTGTATGTTAAAACCATCAGAAGTTCTGCTACTCACACATGACTTCTAGGTAGCGTTGTGTCTGCAAGTCTTTGACAGCGGGGTGATCCACCAAGCAGATGACAGGGACCCCATCGTCCTCCCGCCCCACTTTCAGCAAAAGCTGGCTGGTCACTGTGTACATATCAGACCACTGCTCCACTTCTGACTTGCCTGGGGAGGAAATGGAAAAGAGCAGAAAGCGATCACACAGATGCATCTGTGCACATTCACATTCCTAACTTCTGTGCCCAGGTGACACGCTGCCTTCATACATTTGTTTCCTTTCTTTAGACACAAGGCTTTATGGCAGGGAGGTATGTGGGGATGGAGCAACACTCCTCCCCGCAAAGTTGTTTCTGATTAAAATCTACCATATACTATCACAATGATTAACAATCCCTTTACACCATCCCCAAATCCCTGAACTCTTCAATCAATGGAGTTACAAATCCCCTCCCACTTTGGAATCAACAATTAGCTAGAAAGGTGATTAAACAGATTAACTTAATTAAAAGTCATATTGATAGGCTGAAATATTTCAGCTGTACTCCAGAGAGAGTAACCATGAGAGTAACTGCAGGATTTACCACCTGAAAGGTGATGTGATACACAACACAGAACCAAGAAAGGAAAGAAGAGACAGGAGAGAGGATTTTGCCATGCCCTCTGCAATCACTTGCTGACATTGTTCTTCCACTGTGCTTCCAAATACCCTTATCTGTGGCTTTTTATTTAAGAACCCTGATTGCACGGTCAGAATGTTAGGAGTAACTTGCAACAGAGGTCCTTCAAACACAAAAATATTTCAGGATAAATACATTTGAGTAAAACATGAGGAAAGCTGCAGAAAGTGACATCCCTTTATGCCTAGAGGAAAGGCTTCAATCTGTTCTCAACCCAGTATTTCAGTTTCCTGACTTCTGTTTAAAAAACATCCAAAGACTCCACAGGGTGAACTGGTATTTCAAGAAGCTACTACTCAGCCCAGCAGTCTTCAAAGCTAAAGCAAAGCTGGGATTCAATTGCCAACGCAAGAAAACTCAATCAAGAAGCTGGACAGGTCAAGCATGAAGGGTCAAAAACTATTGCACTGCTGCCAGCCAGAATAGGAAAGAAAACCAAGAAAGAGATCATTTGAAGATCTGTGTAACGTTTAGATGACAACAGGTGCTGGAAATCAGTGGGGCACCACTTCAAGCAGCAGCAGGTTTGCATTCCACCTTTATCAGCATACGCTCAGCATGTGTCATACTCAGATGCTTGTAGGTGTTGTACTTAAATAGAGGATTTTATCTTGCCCTTGTAGGGGGGTTGCATTTAAAGTAATGAGTCTGGACTTCTGTAGAGAGCCCTTCACTGTCTCAGCACAAAGGTGTTGTCAACCAAGCTCACATCTACATGCAGACTTAAAACTAACAGCATGACGCATGCAATCAGTGTCAGCAACTCGACTGTGCTAATACCAGGAGCAACCAGGCTGAGGGGAGTAGGAAACACTTCTTGTATGAATATGCAACTGAACACAGGAAAAATACTCCATAAACAAAAGAGTGAGGTATGAAGATGAACTGAAAGTCAAAGCACAGCTCAAAGCACAGACGATCTTACTCATACCTAAAACAGGGCAGAAAAATACAAACAGGCAGAGAAATAAATTCTCCGCGCAGCTTTAGGGCTCCTCGAGGTCACCTGCAGTTACAGAAAGGCTCCAGATCCCTATACTTAAGTCTGGCAGGTAGGCAGAGGACAACACGAAGTTCAGCCCTTCTGTGTTAAAGGATAATTTATGTCTGCCCACATACTCCTTTGTTCCTGAGCTGGCGTTTAAAACAGCTTGCTTTCTTCTTTCTTTTTTTTAAGGAGACAACAGAGAGCAAGCAGACAATGTTACATAAATCATTTCAGCATGTGAAAAGGAAAGAAAGAAAAAAAGGTGATTGGGAGGATGCACATACCAGTCAGCTCCTTGTTTCCTTTGAACCATCTGATGGTGGTTGCTGGTCTGCTGGCCATGGCAGTGCAGTTCAGCTCAATCTCTTCTCCCTCAACAGCGATTTCTTTCTGGATATCAATGACCAAATTGCGTGGTGGGACTAAAACGAAAGAGAAATAAAACAAAAACCAGAATCACAACACATGCTTGATGAAAAGGCAAGTAAGACGTTTTCTGATCGCTAACACAAGACAAGAAAGACTTCTGAAAAACCCATAAAGCCTACTGGAGCAAACTAGCCACCAGCATTTACTTGATCTTTCAATCGATCAAGTCCTTTGATAGATGGTTTTGCAGTAATCAGAGTAAGCGCCTTCACTCTCCACCTAATAATCAGAGTGGTTTCACAAATTATCACTTATCAAATCCTTATCTTTCAGTTCTGCCTCCTACCAAGGCACCGCTCTGCAGAAGAGCCTGAATCTTCCACGGCACTCAGTTGTGTACGCTGCTATTTAAAAATACAGTTTGACTTCACGCACATTTCTCGACTTGTGCTGACAGGGAGAGGAAACACCAAGGCTGACATTTGGAAGCGCATTACTTACCGCAGTTCTAACCTCGGAAGGCAATTTTTCTCTCCTGCTGTTCAGTTTCAAGTCTCAGCCTTAAGGAGTGGAAGCAGGCCAGCGACCATCAAGCTCATTGAAAATGCTCAAAAGGCAACGAGCACAGGAGCACATGGGACTGCAGTCACCAAACTGAACCCAAAAGCACCCCAGGAAGAGGAGACAGCCAACTGTGCAGCCAGTGACCAACTCTTGCACCGCAAGGCAGCCTCCTTAGGATGGTAATTACCCATCCTCCCCACTTTCCTCTACAGATCAAGAGTCCTGCATGAAACATAAGGCAGTAATATTCAGAAACAGGCCAGAGCTTCAGCCTGCAACCTAACACAGAGTCGTGACAAACAAGCTTAACAGTGATGACACAGAAGCAAGGAGTCTCTCCCCATGGAAGCACCAGTAGCTGGAGAATGAGAAAAAATGAACATCAAGAGTTCACGTGGCGTGGAGTCGCGCTCACAGGGAAAAAAAATGAGAACTTCCAAAGGAAGCTCAACTTTGCTCTGATCGATGTGATTAAGCAACTGTATAGTTCAAATGTGACTAACGCGTTTTTCAGCTAATGAAGAACAAATATGTATAAATATCATCCAGATGATCAAATGGACTAATTAGTCACTTGTGGCTTTTCTGTAAGAAGAACAGAACAGACTACATATTGGAGATTTTCACATGTTCCAATTAAGCATGAATAAATCTACATATAGTCTCACTGAAGGCATTAAAGTTGCGGGGAAGAGGAGGGAAGAACATTACTGAAGGAAAGGAAAGCGTGAAGCTCTCTTCTAACACTGACTACAAAGAAGGATGCCTCAAAACTTTGCTCTGCTCGCCAAAGAGAGTATCATTAGAAGCAGATCAGCAAAACTACTCTTCGATAGGACTTAAAATATAGAGACTGAGTAATGACTAAGAGATCTTTGGTGGAGAATGAATCCCCAGGAGAACCGACAATGTACTGACATGGATAACTACTCCCCAGCCCAGTCCCATTTTTTCTCCTAATCGGGGAGTCAATAATGTGGAAGAAAAGACAGACATGTTATCCTTGGCTTTGCACATCCTGTCTCGAAGTACAAATGTTAGCTAAGATAAACACTTCCCTCCTCAGCCTTCTAATAATAAACATCTATCTTTATTGCCTGCCCTGTGAACTATGGCTTTGCCTGAGCACGTGATGAAGGCTCACAGGAAAGGCTCACAGCTTTATGAATGCCAGGGAGAGGCAGGCACACACTGGTCATACTGAACATCTAAAACGAACTGAAGCAAAAGACCTACAAAAGAAAATAAATCAGACTTCTCCTTGAATTCTAAAGCCTAACGTGTGTTAAAAGGAAAACCACCAAAACCCAACTGCATTACATCTCCCACTTGGGAGACATGCAGTCCCAGCTTATAGATGAATCAAGAAAATAGCATTATTTCAAGTTAAGTAGGGAAATTAAATACAACACAGTATTTTTGTTTAGGTGTGATTACTGAGAAAAGCTGGAATAGAGCTCCTCATCCACATGGAAACTGGAAACTATTAGAAGTTAAAAGCTGTTGATAAACGTAACAGCTGTAGTAGAACCGCTTATAAACATTATTTAAGCAACATATAGAAACGTAAGAACCAAATCTCATTAAATAAAAGGAGAAAGATTTAAACTAATCAGCAAGTGAGATCTCACATCATATCATCCTCCGTGATTCAGGTTCTCCTATTAATAGAATCTTAAAAGCCGCAGCTAATCTGCAGAACGAGCGCTAATAGCATGAGCTGCTATTATTGGTAACCACAGCCTTATAGCTGCACATCCACCACAGCCCTGCAAAGCATCAAGAGAAGGCAAGGCAAGAGCTCAGCGTGAGCTGCTGTGAACGTATTTTGGCTGGTGGGAATGGGAGGGATGAGACAGAATTAACTTCAACTCTTCAAACAGCAGTTCCTAAAGCAGTGAGCAACGTTAGGATGGGGAGCGAAAGACTTTATTTTCCATTAAGCGTGAAAAAAAATTGCTACAATTAATAGGAAACTATCACTTCCCATTAGCTGGCTTTCCATTTCGCTGGATAAGTCAACAGAGAAACATGCAAAACTTATGCATCTTCATATAGTAGGAGGTTCCTGAGCTACGCTGTTGGTAATAATTGCCCTTAAGGAATATTGCGGATGGGCAAAGATGCTGTCTGTCTTCATTACAATATCATCCTTCACATCCCCGAGTTTGGGAAGAAAATATTGAGTGTACGATCAGATCAGTCTGACCACTGAAAGCACAAAATTCATCAGCAATTAGAGAGGTTCGCCACGAGCACCCATAGGGTCCTTACCAAGCACTGTGATGGTGGTGTAAATTTCCTGCGGGGGATCTGTGTAGAGCTGGCAGAAGTACCGTCCTTCATCAGAAATAGAGACGTTTGTCAGCGACACTCGGAGCTCACTGTTGGAGAAATTCACCAGCTGAAACCTGCTGTCCTTCAGTGCTGTGGAGCAAAGGGATCGTCAGCGGCGACAGATGCAGAAGTCCCTCTTCCCAACACAAAGTCAAAAGTCTGCAGAGATCTGAGCAGCATCTAAAGCAGCTCCTGCCTGTAGCTGGAATCCTGCTCTTGAGTTACAGCTGGGATCTATCGAATGCTTCTGTTCTCAAATCGTTACCAAGAATCAACAGAAGTAAATCAGCCAGGCACAGCATCAAGGCTTAGTTTCAGAGGTGCCAATGGAGTAAGGCTGGGTGTTAGGAAAAACTTATTCTCCAAAAGAGTGGTTGGGCACTGGGATGGGCTGCACAGGGAGCTGGGGGGTTGTCACCATCCCTGGGTGGGTTCTAGAACCATGGGGATGTGGCACTGGGGAACGTGGTGGGAATGGTGGGATGGGGATGTGAGAGATCTTTTCCAACCTCAATGATTCTATGGCTCAGACAGCTTAATGATGCAGAGGTAAACTGCTTATTGTGAAAATCCAGTCCTATATGTCTGCATTTCAGACTGTGTGCAGCAAGTAAACCAGGGGCAGCATGAAAAATAAAAGAAGTAGGGAAAGGATAATTTAACATTTGTTTCCATGACCAGTAGTGGCTGTTTAGAAATCTGGAAACTGAATGTTTCAAATCTTACCAGCAAACATAGAGACCACAAATCTTAGCACAAGTGAAACAAGCCAGGCTCCACAGCCTGCCCGTAGACAGGGCACAAGATATTTCAGGAGAGAACATGCTCTGCCAGACGTTCCTATAACACCCAGTACAATGTCCCAGTGCCTCTGGTCCCCGTTGAGACACTACAGACCATTTCAAACATCTCATCCAGCTATGATGAGGTGGTATGGTCACGAGAGGAAACAAAGCCAGGTTTGCTCAGCAGACCCCATGGTGATGGGAGATTTTGCTTTGGCTATAATGAGGCAGAGATCGTCTTGAAAATTTCAGCTTTGCCACCAAACAGATTACCTCTGAGAACATTACACTGTCTCTGCTTTGCCCTGTTCAATTTGTTTGTGTCAGCTAAATATTTGGCACTCAATTGCAATTCACCCTGAATTACTACAATCAATTCCTATTGCAAAGAAGATGGTCTGACTTTTAAAGGGGTCCATCAAGGTTTCCATTAAGGAGAAAGATTATGATTGCCTGTCTGATCTGCCCTCTAAAGAATTGACTAAACTTTAAGTGTCCAACATAAAATTAGAAGATCTCAGCATATCCTTTATCCTAACTGCGAACAAAGTGCAGGAAAAGTTGTTACCAAATAATAAAAAAATGGAACTTACGTCTGAAATCTCTGAAATAAATCGTCTGTCTGTTGGGATTGAGGAGCTGAATCACGGAGTCGTCGCTGTTTTTGACTCGACAGCTGATGGTGGCAACGTCCCCCTCCACTACCGTCACATCTTCTGTTACCAGGTTCTGGCCATCACCTTAGGAAGGAAAGGAAGAGGAAATATGAAAATCATAAGCGACGTCTGAAAGTTTCATTTGGAATACTCAAGATGGCAACACCAGGAAATTTGAGGAGCACTGGAACAGGCTGCCCAGGGAGGTGGTGGAGTCTCCTTCTCTGGAGATGTTCAAGACCTGCCTGGATGCTGACCTGTGCGACCTGCTGTAGGGAACTGCTTTGGTAGGGGGTTGGACTCGATGATCTCTGGAGGTCCCTTCCAACCCCTACAATTCTGTGATTCTGTGATTCTGTGATTACAGAGCAAACAAGTCACTTCATTCCCTCTATTTTAAATAATGACCAAAAATGATGAGCAGGGAAAAATCCCCCTGGACTTATCCACCTCTCCATGCCTTATTCCTCATACCAGTCCCAGGAGCAGATGTTCCATGCCATATGCATGGGAACAGCAGAAATTTCCTTCCTCCCTTAAAAAGATGAATATTGTTAAATTACCTTAAAAGAAAAATCTGCTTTCAGAAGCATCTGTCCTTTGACTTCAGCAGATATGCTTTTGTGAACTGGTTTTCGCTTACTACATCTCATCAGTGGGTGCTATTAATGTCCAGAGGTGGGAAAGACGAACTCGATGCAATTATGCCGTGGGAGTCTTGTAATCATTTACAGGTCACCACCTCCAAACTCTCTCTCTAATGAATTGAATCATTGCATCAGATGCACATGGAGAAATCTGGTTCGCGTTATAAAGAATGCAGAGGACCTTGATTTGAAAAAAAAAAAAAAAAAAAAGAAGCATTTTGCATTTCATGTTTTCCACACCTTCTACGTCAGGTTACAGCAAAGCAGAGCTCTGTTGGAGAGGGGAAGAGGAACCAAAGCCCCTCCTGTGGGCAGCTCACAGCTTGTCTGCCTCCTGCGTGGACATGGGGAGAACCGCAATGCAGCTTCACTTGTAGGTGGCCCAAGGAAGGGGGAGAAACTTTGAGACTCAAAACACCCAGAGATGGTTGTTATGCTCTGGTTTGTCTTTTTTCTTGCCTTTTCTCCACCTTTTTTTAGTGAGCTGCTACTGTACTGACCATGGTCAAACCTCTTGGGTCACCCAGCCACACAAATGTGCTACCAACAGTCCCACCATGATTTTCTTCAACACTTCCAACCATGGCAGCACGAATGTTTGTCACATACAGCCTACCTAAGCAAAGCTAGGGGATGCAATAGCATCACTCACTTAGGAACTTATAGCACCGCGATATAAGACTTTACACACAGCCAACTGGGTCTGATGCTGATCACAGACTGCTGTGGGTAGCACACCAACGACCAGAAGTGATCCTCAGCCCCCACCTGCCCACAGCCAGGCTCCAGCAGAGGCTGCGCTGCAAGATTCCAGCAGCAGTGCAAGCCAAAATCAGGGCAAACTAATGGAGATGTGGTGTCCCTGTTCACTGCAAGGGAGTCGGACTTGATGGCCTTCAGAGATCCCTTCTAACTCTAAGGATTCTATGATTCTGTGATTCCATTCTATTCACCACTAACTGCTCCCAGGGAATGATTTTATCAAACCCATTCAAAACAAGGTTCTTGCACAAGGATCAGCTTGATATGTTCTCATAAATGCAATATTCGCTACAAATCATTAACAAAGCTATTAAGACTTGATTTCCATCTAAGCAATTACTGCGAGCATATTTTTTTACATTTACTTTAAAAGACTCAATCCTATTTTCAATTCATTAAACTGTTCCTTGCGTTTACTGAGTTTTACATCAGCTTGGAAGCCTATTTGAATTAATAAAAATTACAGTAGAAGTAATTTAGAAATAAATTATTTGAAGTTTAAGCCACTGAAGCTTTTCATGCTGGAATGCTGCTACGTTAAGCCTGCTGACTGATTGCTTTGGAAGTCCAGCATCGAGGTCCAGGCCGGCGTCAGGATCTGACTCAAGGAATATTTGCACACCCACAGGCTTTGGGGTTAATGAGAGGCACAGGGCACACGAGGACAACACCCCACAGTCTGACACAGCCATCAGCTCAACCGTAGTTGATTTCTGTGTATTTATTCTGAACCAGAGGGCATCCCATCCGGCTGTTGTTTGCACAGATTCCTTTGCTCTGCTGACCTAAATTTGTTTGCTTAACTAACAGCACAAGGCAGTACGAGTTAAAGCTTTTGGTTATCTGCATTCACATCTGCTCCCAGTTACCAAGAACAGCATCAATTACAAACTTCAAATTAAATAAACATGCAGTGTGAAGCGAGAACTCTCTAGACCCATTTTCACTTAAACATTTCGGGAAGTTATTTGCTAATATTTACCAGCGCTATGCAAGCATTCCAGGGAGTATTACTTTCACCAAAATACAGACATTTAAAGCACCACAACGTCTTTTAATGGCATATTTGGATAGTGAGGGGGAGAATCATAGCATGGCTCAGGTTGGAGGGGAGCTCAAAGCCCACCCAGTGCCACCCCTGGCCGTGGGCAGGGCTGCCCCCCACCAGCTCAGGCTGCCCAGGGCCCCATCCCACCTGGCCTGGAGTGCCTGCAGGGATGGGGCACCCACAGCTTCTCAACATCTACAACTTGTCAGTTTTTGAACTGTACAGACATCAAACGGAATCACAGAAAGAGAGTAAAAAAATAAAAATAAAAGAAAGAAAGAAAGAAAAAAAAGGAAGGCTACTACTGATAAAGAACTCTCCTCAGTGCTCTGTAACATAAGGGACAGACTCAAAGATCAGACTTCGTATTTCAAACCTGGGTAGGATTGATTAAATCTCAACTTTGCCCACATAATTCACTTCCTTTTGGGCTCTGTTTATAAAGCTATGAAGAGAATCGAGCCTCTGTTTCCAGCAAGGTGTTTGAATCCCTTAGCATGCACACAAGGAGATCGAGCCTAGCATGAAAAAAGTGGAAGTGAAAAAACTGCAGCCATTTTCTGAAGTCATTAAGGCCATAGAAAAAGAGAACAAAAAATTGCAAATGAAAATCAGTTTTTTTAAGCCCTACCCACACTCAGCAGGCAATCTTTTTGCCTGTGCACACACATAACCTGTGCTCACAGGTAGGCAGTTCTTCAAAACATGCTTTCCTGGACTGAGCTTCTCATCGCTGCCTACACAAACTGGATGACTTACACCTGACGTAAGATGCAAGAATATTCTTGAGCTGAAGTGTAACACATTGCATTTGAGAGAGGAAAACAGGAACGTGAGATGAGCCAGCTTGGGAGATGGGCTTCAGGGGGAACTGCTGTATGTGGAACCGCCCCATCCCTGCAGGCATTCAAGGCCAGGCTGGATGTGGCTCTGGGCAGCCTGGGCTGCTGGTTGGTGACCCTGCACACAGCAGGGGGTTGGGACTGGATGAGCACTGTGCTCCTTTGCAACCCAGGCCATTCTATGATACACGTGCATCATAATATGTATAAAATTAATGAGCACATGGAATAACCAAAACAGATACAATGTAAGGGAAAGCAAAAAAATGCTCTGTGTGTCTCCTTTACTGTATTAAGCAATTCTTTGGCTGTGCAATGTAGAAAACCTACAGGAAGGAAGGACAAGGTGGAGGGAAGTAATGCACTCAGGGAAAGATTTTGGCTAGAAGCTAAACAATTTTTACACTTGTATTTCTGGACTGGACCACTGCAGTATTTGTTTCTAAGGCTGCAAAGAAAGAAGACTTTGAACAGCAAATTGTGTTAGAACAAGTTTCTCTTAGGTGGGCACAGTGCAGGGACCTTGGCTCATATGCAGTGGTCACATTGAAAATTAATTCTTTTTTCCACTTGCAGCACATCAGGATGGAGTGAAGAATCAGGGGGAGGAGATGGAAAGATGAGAAATACGTGCTTGTGAACATGCCTCTTCAATTCCCAACACAACACCAGCCACAGGTACTCATCATGGCTGATAGCACTGCTGATTCCATACACAGAAAACAGAAACGCTTTTCAAAAAAGAGTAATTTTCATGAAACCTCAACTATGTAAACTCACAGAATTCCTCTTAATAAATTGAGTCAAGGGAAAAAAAAAACAACCAACCAACCAGAAACCTACATTGAAATATACGGAGTATTTGTTTGTGTCTTGGAGGAAAAACATGACATGATGATCAATTCACAGAATTAATGTAATTTTGATGTCAAAACTTACCAATTTCAGCTATCTAAGAAGAATGAAACGATTAAACAACCAACTAAGGGTTGAGAGAAGCATTGTAGAAGGGTTATAAACACCTTGCAACCTTCCTACATCGGAGGCTTTGTTTCCTTGTCACTGCTATTCCACCAAGCAGCTCCTGTGCTCTTCCCACCCATCACAAAGACCAGCATCCCCACGAAGCATCACAATCTGCCTCTTCAGAAAGACCACAGAAACAGAACAGGCATTCTGCAGCCATCAGATGCTATGGAGCAGCAAGGAGGAGGAAAACAAATCGCCACTGACTTGGCGATTTGGCTTTAAGGAGATGGAACAGAAATGACGACGGCGTGCTGAAAGCAAGTTGCTGGAGCTCAGTGCATCTGGCCCTGCAGGCTGTTCAAACACAGAGCATCGTCACACTCGAACTTTCGAGAAGAATGGACAATCCACACTAATTGTGTCGGCAACAAAAGGCAATTGCTTCCCACAGAGTTAATTTCATGACATCTTTTCATGCACAAGAGAATGGTAGCAATTTTAGATCGGGCTGTCTACAAAATTGTACGTGCACGTAAGAGCATGAGACACAGCTTATGGCACGTAGGGAAAATGTGCTCAAGGAACGAGTCCTAAGTCAGTGCCTTTGCACTGCTTTGCTCACGGAGCTGATGTGCACTAAGATGCACCATTCTGCCTCCATGAGCAGCACAACTCCAGACTCAGACACTGACTGCACCAGCTCCAAGGGCACCTGTTAGTATTGACAGGCTGAGGGAGTGTAATTGCACTATTATTAGTCTCTTCGCATCTCCCAGTCCATTTTGTCTGCCAAAGAGAGATGCTGAAAGCCTTGCA